GGGGTTATCCGGTCCTTTAATTTTTCTTATCGATCCTGCTAGTTCATGCAGGAGTTTCACTAATTGCTGTCGTCGCACGTCGTCGTCGGTAGCTCTGACAGAACGTCGCCGTTTTCCTTTTGCTTTTGCAATCGATGTTGGTGCATCGCGTGGTTATACACCATACATGCCCTCCTGCTGTTTTCACGAGTGTTCGCACGTCGCGCCGTGCCAGGACTTACTCACGGAGGCTGGATTGTTCGAGATGTCCCTGCCGTGTCTTGTCGTGGGAGAAGAGCCAGGCTTCACAAGAAAATTTTGTGGCTAAGCTGCAGGTCGTCGATCTCCGTGCAGGTGTTGGCCCAATTGCCTGCTACAGCAAGATCAGACGTGTCAAATTTGCGTAGCCTGTTGGTCGCATCATGCTGAAAGCAATTCTGCGAGCTGCACCACGAGGGCCCGAGCCACACAAGGTGATCACACGTCGATCTTGCTTGGCAGCTCGGGGCTTGCGAACTCAGGGCTTACTCCTCAGGACGCAGCATGCATGCCACACAGGCTTTCAGATGAAGTTTCAGGCTCAGGCAGGCTGAGGCGGGGAACTGCTTCGCCAGACTTTGGCGCAGGACATTGGAGCACTGGCCGAGGCAGGCCTCACAGCTTCGAGCTTTGAGAGGGTCACTTCTCCTTCCAGGAAGCTGATGCGCACATGTTCGTGCAGAAATGTTTCGCACACCATGACGGCAAACGATTGAGCTTTTGCAAGGCTTGTGAGGATGCCACAAAAGCAAGCATGACGATTGCCGAGTTGCCTGCCGGCAACATTAGTTTGCATCGACAGGATTTGATGTGTGGAGGTATGTATATAATGTGTACATACATACATACATACATACATACATACATATATACATATGTACATTATATGTATACACTATGTAAAGATATCAGTCTATAAACGCAGAGTGAGAGAGATAGATAGACAGATAGATAGATAGATAACTAGATAGACAGAGAGATGGACAGGTAGACAGGCAGAGACAGACAGACAGACAGATAGATAGATAGATAGATAGATACATGGATAGATAGGTAGATAGTTCGATAGGTATAGGTAGGTATAGGTAGATAGTCAGTTAGATAGATAAATACATGTTGCATTGTAACCACATATCTTTCTCTGTTCGTCGGGAAACCACTGGACGTGTAGCATGGAGCACCCGATTCAGGATGCCATCGACAGAAAAAGTTTAGGGGGTGCCAAGAGAACGAGCGTGCAGGCATCAATGAAGACCGCTCTTGTTTCTTCGTGATGCCACCACATAGCTCATCAACTCGAATGGTCAAACTCACCAACACGGATAGTGGCAGAAGCCATAAACCGGGGTAGCCCGAAAGTTGCGCCTCAGGTTCAACATGGCGCTTCCGGGCTCCCAAATCATGTCAAAACCCTCCAGAACAGCGCCAAGAGTTGTCATTAAAAGGATACTCTTCTTGTTTTTGCTGTTGTTCCCCGGCCTCGGTGAGGGTATAGATCAAGAGGGGAAGGGGCAGGACGGTCCACAAATTCATGATCTGTTGCTGTTGCGGTTGGCAGAGTCGAGAGCTGGCCATCAGCCTCGGGGACACTTGCGATATGACACGCTTAAGGTAGACGCGACGACATTTATGGCACACTTACTTAATCATCAGGCGCTTTGCCCAGGAAGCGAGGCCTAAGGCGGTTACCAACCCCGCAGTGCTCACGGGCGAAAATTACGCGGGCGTCGCTGACAGGAAGCGCTGACGCGCCGCTACCACCAGAGGTGGGTAGATAAGCGGCGTCAAGCCCGACAGGACTAGAGTATGGCGCAGCTCTAAGAAGGCCTCTACCCCGAGGGTGCACGGTGGACAGAATCCTCTCTACAGCCGATCCGCCCGAAACCGACCTTCTGTAGAATGCCACCAGAAGCGCATTAGGCAAAGTTCTCACCAGTCGCTTATCCACCCCATCCTTGGAACTTGGAACGTAGAAGGTCTTCCTGAGGTAGCCAAATATGATAGTATCACTCGTTAATGCTCGCAGTCAAAACTCTCACTGTTGTGTGCTCAAGAAACCAAAGTGGATTCCTCGCACACTTTTGCCAAGAACTGCTGGGAAATATTAACGTCAGGTCTCCCTTCCGATAAACATCATGGCGCAGGTTTCTTTTTTCCCCTCCCTTCGATCAAGCGTTAAGGACTTTAAGACTTTAAGCCTCATTCCCCACCTTTGCGACATCACCATCGATGAATCGCCCCACCCGGTCACCGTCTTTAACATCTACGCGCCCAGTTCCGTTGAAGCACTGGAAACAGATCGCGAACGCAAGGCCCAATTTTGGGCGGACCTCGAGGCTCTTATGTTGCACCACCCTAACGCCTCCCATCTATTACTTGTAGGTGATTGTAAAACACGGTCGGTTGGGCGCAAATTGCAAATATCGGCCCTACGCTTGGGAGGGGAAGGCATTGGAGACGGCCTGGGAGTAAATTTTTAAATAAAAGGCGATTTCAAGGTGGAATGAAGGTGAATGAAAGGTAATCAGGAAAGGTGATTGAAAGGTGAATCAAAGGTGGTATGAAGATTGCTTGGTGCCTGGAGCTGCACGCGTGGATTCTGTTCCCGTGGCTTAATCGAAGATGGCATCAGGCTGTGAGCCCCAAGCTGACAAAGATACGTCCATACGTATAGGCATGCGTGCACAAACATACGTACATACAAACTTACATGCATGCATGCATGCATGCATGCATGCATGCATGCACGTATGTGTGCATGATCTTCGTCGAAAATCTATCTATAGTTTGAACCTATGAAATAAACCTTTGCACACTGTGCGAATTTTCTAGCAGATAGCAAGTGAGCTTTTCTATGGTCCTAGAGAATGATGCCGTTTCGGTTCAACAACAAGTGTATGCCCGTGTCACGGCTTCCAGATGCTCGAGCCGCTAGCCGACCCTATCCAGAGGCCGTGGAGTTGCTAGACGGGAGCATCCGTCCTTTGGTTTACCTTCCGCTTGTCGCGAAAGCAAAATCGTGTTTTTGGCTGACCTTTTTTTTCGCCTTTTCGTATCCTTGAATTTCACCTTGTAATCACCTTTTAACCACCTTTGTTTCACCTTTTGCGTCCTTTACACAAAGTGCTTTTCACCTCCGAATCACCTTTTTTGGGCTCGGACCCGGCGCGGTGCCACCTTCAAATCACCTTCAGTTCTGCCAAGCAAAAAGGTGAACAAAAGGTGAAAAAAAGGTGACCGGTCGAAACGACTTGGTAGAGTGTATTTTAGGGACTCTCTTGGCCGGTCACCTTTATTTCACCTTTAAATCACCTTTATTTCACCTAAAAGGTGAATCCAAGGTGAATCCAAGGTGAATCCAAGGTGAATCAAAGGTGAATCAAAGGTGATTCAAAGGTAATCCACAGCTGGCACCTGGGCTTGGGCGTGGGAGCCTGGCAGCCTGGTAGCTCCTGCAGCTATTCGCAATGCAGGCCCAAAGCAGGTCCATGAGTGCGGTTTTCCTACACAGAGACTCTTTTAGAGGCTCGACTGAGCTCTACTGAGTCCCCAGAGCCAAGTCCTCTCGGCCAGTCACCAGGATTTCACCTTTGAATCACCTTTATTTCACCTTTAAATCACCTTTATTTCACCTTTAAATCACCTTTATTTCACCTTTAAATCACCTGTATTCCACCTAAAGGTGAATCCAAGGTGAATCAAAGGTGAATCAAAGGTAATCCACAGCTGGCACCTGGGCTTGGGAGCCTGGCTGAAGCCATTCAGGTGACCGGCCGAGAGGACTTGGCTCTGGGACTCAGTAGAGCTCAGTAGAGCCTCTAAAGCCCATGGACCTGCTTTGGGCCCTTTGGGCCATGCCTGCAGGAGCTGCCAGGCTGCCAGGCTCCCAAGCCCAGGCGCCAGCTGTGGATTACCTTTGAGTCACCTTTGATTTTCTTTTGATTCACTTTGGATTCACCTTGGATTCACCTTTAGGTGGAACAAAAGGCGAAATAAAGGTGATTTAAAGGTGAAATAAAGGTGAATTAACGGTGAAATAAAGGTGACTCAATGATGAAATCCAGGTGACCGGCCTAGAGGACTTGGCTCTGGGGACTCAGTAGAGCTCAGTAGAGCCTCTAAAAGAGTCTCTGTATAGGAAAACCGCACCCATGGACTTGCTTTGGACCATGCCTGCAGGAGCTGCCAGGATGCCAGGCTCCCAAGCCCCGGTGCCAGCTGTGGATTACCTTTGAATCACCTTGGATTCACCTTTTAGAGCCTCTAAAAGAGACTCTGGATAGGAATACCGCACAAATCACCTTTGATTCATTTTCGATTCACCTTGGATTCACCTTTTAGTTGAAATAAAGGTGATTTAAAGGTGAAAAAAGGTGATTTAAAGGTGAAATAAAGGTGATTTAAAGGTGAAATCAAGGTGATTCAAAGGTGAAATCCAGTTGACCGGCCGAGGGGACTTGGCTCTGGGGACTCAGTAGAGCTCAGTCGAGCCTCTAAAAGTAAGAGTCTCTGTATAGGAAAATCGCACCCAGGACCTGCTTTGGGCGCTTTGGGGCCATGCCTGCAGGAGCTGCCAGGCTGCCAGGCTCCCAAGCCCAGGTGCCAACTGTGGATTACCTTTGAATCACCTTTGATTCACCTCGGATTCACCCTGGATTCACTTTTAGGTGGAATAAAGGTGAAATAAAGATGATTTAAAGGTGAAATAAAGGTGATTTAAAGGTGAAATAAAGGTGGTTCAAAGGTGAAATCCAGGCGACCGGCCGAGAGGACTTGGCTCTGGGACTCAGTAGAGCTCAGTAGAGCCTCTAAAAGAGTCTCTGTGTAGGAAAACCGCACCCATCGACCTGCTTTGGGCCTGCATTGCGAGTAGCTGCAGGAGCTACCAGGCTGCCAGGCTCCCAAGCCCAAGCCCAGGTGCCAGTTGTGAATTACTTTTGAATCACCTTTGATTTAAAGGTGATTTAAAGGTGAAATAAAGGTGATTTAAAGGCGAAATAAAGGTGATTTAATGGTGAAATCGGCCTGGCGGGCTTGGCTCTGTGGCCACATAGGCAGGCCCATGGGTGTGGTTTCCTCCACACAACCTAATTTGGAGGCTCTACTGAGTCCCCAAAATATAATCTACGAAGCTCAGGCGGCAACAAAGCCAAGTGCTTTCGGCCGGTCACCTTTTTCTCACCTTTTTTTCACCTTTTTTACACCTTTTTGCCCGGCAAGGTCACTTTCCATTCACCTTTGAATCACCTTTAAATCACCTTTCAATCACCTTCAAATCACTTTTTTTGACGCCCCCATCGCAGCTCGGCAAAAGGTGATTTACAGGTGATTCTGGAGTGGCAAAAAGGTGATCCCGTGGGAGTCGGAAAAGGTGAAAACAAGGTGATCCTAGAAATGGAAACGGTGGGGAAGGTAAACTGACGGCGAACCTTCCGGAATGGGTCGGCCGGCTGGGCGACGCAGGCTGCGGCTTGCAAATCGAAAGGTCGTGCTCCCGCCACAGTCCCGTCCCCTTTGCGGACTAATCATGACTTAGGCTGGGACTCATGTTCCCAGCGCATTGTCTGTGTATGCATGCAAAACATGGATGTATGTATGTATGTATGTATGTATGTATGTATGTATGTATGTGTGCACGCATGCCAAACTGTAGGTACGGTTGACAAGTAAATAGATATCAAACTTATATGAAAGTTTATATGTATATACAGTGTATATGTAGTGAAGTGTATGTGTACATATACATATAGTGACATATAGATAGGTAGATAGATATACAGAAAGATAGATGCGCAGCTACATAGATAGATAGATCGACACAGAGATGGACTGTGCGAATGTGGCCGTCTCCTGGTCGTCCTACCGGCGTATTGGCGTAGCAGTTAGCATTACTGCTGCCGGTGCCCCTAGCACAAATCGGAGCTGGCGAATCTGCTGGTCCTGTTCGGTTCGCGTGATCACATAGCAGCAGTACCAGTAGTCGTACGTAGCAGCAGTTTAGTAGTAGTAGTGGTAGCAGCGGCCGTGGCAGCGGCCAAGAGAAGTGAGCAGCTGAGCATTGGTATTGGTATCTTCATTCTACCTTTATTCTACATTTTCAGTTTACCTTCATATCACCTTCAAATTACCTTTATTCCACCTTCTATTTAAAATCTCTTATCTGTCTGTGTCCAACAGCTTCCCCTTCCCAACCCTACGCATACACAGGTAGGACCCACAGTCATTGGGAGAAGACGAAGCATGCCGCAACCCGCATGCGATAACACCGTTGTTTTACTGGATTTCTTAGAAGCACATGGTTGCTTTTCCCCCCAAACTTTTTCAACTCTCCTGTTTCGCCGCATGGTCTATGAGCTCCTGTAATGAAATGACATGTGCGGACCACACAGTCACAAAAGAAGATGTCCTTCAATGGACTACTTCAGCTTACCTCATATTGCCACAAACTCTGCGAGATATAGTGTCCTTTGCAGGCACCCGCTTTCAACAGTTTATCAATTTGAGGCTTTTGCCGCTTCTCTTTTCTATTCAGACAACTATCTTGAAAACCGTATCCCCCCCGTCGGGATCGCGTAGACTACACCCAACTCTCCTTCTTTTACTAATCTATTGAATCCTTCTTGCTATCGAACACTGAAACCGAGTTCAAAACGGAACACGTTAACGCGCCTTGTATCCTGGCGTACGCAGACGCCTCTTCTCCCAATAACCGTGTTGTCTCTTTTGGCAACCCTGCAGGGTGGTGTTTCACAGTTACAATTTCCTTTCGTGCTCAGCATCCCAACCCAATCGCATTTTTCATTTCATCCAATATTGCGGCCAGTCAAGAGGCTTTACTCTCAACCAAAATAAGTGTGAACATTTGCGCGTACACTCGATCCAGAGGACTTATTACCACCTTCTCTGTCCTACTCTATCATCGAGTCACAAGCCATCATAAGCCCATTCACCGCAGATTGTTCCAACAAGTGTTTAGCAGGTCTCGCTCTCTCAGCGCGTCGAGATCCCACACTTTCTCAATTATACTCACAACAGCGTCCCTAATTACTTGGTCACCTTTACAGTGTGTTGACACCCTCGAGTACCAAGTTACTTTTATGGGTTCCCATGCGTATAAACTATAAACACGTGTCTATGCCTGCCAGAGGCAGCGCGGCGCATTGACTTCATGTCATCAGATGCGTCACTTTTACACTCTGATATCAATAATGCTGTCTTCTCCATCCCTACAATCCAGCAGATCTGTCGAGCAAGCACATGGAACCAACTGTCGTATGAGAATGGACAATATTCCGCTATAAGTTATACCGTAAGGTTCAGCCTTTTTGCCAGAACCGCGGGAGATGGAGAACTCTCATCCATAAGCCCCGCTCTACTCGGCATGCGTAAGTACATTCTCTAGAAGTCTAACAGCAACTTTTGACAGCAGCCGGTGCTGACGGGCAACAGACCACTGTGCCCTGTGCGCTGGAAAAAGCTCACCCTAATTTTCCTGAAGCCGTCTGTAGTTTCGTTTTGTTTATGTTGGTGAAGCTGGGAGCACGGGTGCTGTTTGTAGGTGAAACGTGTCCGGTCTGTTGCCATCATGTGTACGGCTCGCCTTGAGAACTGGTGACTAGTAACAAAGCAATCTGACTCGGAGAATCCAGGTTGGCTAAGGAGAGGCTCAAGGAGGCGATGTGGCACTCCGACTTGTGCTTCTGAAATGTTCTAGATATTTTTAGATGACAGGGTGCATCAGCATGTGCTTCAGGCCGTCAAGGGCGAGGCGAACTGGGTTCAGCAGGACCGCCTTGACATTACAGCACCTGCGAGCCCCTGTGTTAATTGAACCTTAGACCCATATGCTTGAGTTTTCCAATGTTCCGGTGCTCATGCACATTCCACATGACTGTATGTTCACATCATGTACATGGCATGACTCTGTCAGTCGCCAGTACGCACTGCAGTCTGATGACAAGAATTCTGACGAGAGAAGTGCAGCACAGCCCTGCAAAATGCAAGCACATGACGGTTAGCAATCCGAGGTAGGTGTAGGTGCTGGCTCTCAATCTAGCTAGCCCTGATTCTTGTATAGCAGATCCTGACATTTAAGCATGCTTAACCGAACGAAGCATGGTACTCATGATGAACGACGTCGTGGGTGATGTTGGGGCTTTGCCTTGTTTAAGGCGGCAGCACTCACCAATCCATACGAACTGACTCAAAATACTCGCCTTGAGGATGCCGTGGAAACAGTTATGGGCCTTGTGCTACAAAGAGCAAGAAACGAATCTCTGCCCCTGCATACCGTCACGCTATTCCATACCAGTTCAAGACACCCTACTGTAAGCTTTGCAGCACCAGGAGAAGGCCAAGGCCTCCGAGGTGACTTGCTTGGCAGTCAAACTCGACTGGGAGCCCACAAGCCAGGGGCTTGGTCTCTTTTGCAGAAGGCTTTCCATGCTCTGGCGCGAACAAGAAGCCAGTATCTAGGAAGCAGGCCACCAAGAGATCTTCTAAGCCGAAGCCGCAATGGACCAGGTAGAGACACTGGCGAACCGGATGTCCCGAACTGAGAACAGCATCTCCTGGACACCGCACCTCTAAGCCCTGAAGTGCAACTTGAGGCCAAGAGGCTGCGCTCGTCGCAGGACGCATGAGCAAGAAAAGGGAGCGCAACACTGTGTGCGTCAGTTTGGACCTAGGTTGCACATCTAGCAAACTGCGGGACAGGGTGTAGGGATGCAGCTGGGCACTCACACATTTGACACCCTTGCTTCAGACGTCGACAATCGGGGTCATTCCCACGGTCGTACTTCAATTAAATCCAGGGTCTGCAGCCTTCTTCAACAAGCATGAGTGTAGACGCCGGAGCATTTTCTGTGAAGGGCCATGGCACAGGACAGTTGGGAATGGCTTGCGGAATTGTAGAGCTGCATTAGATCGGTTTGTGATCACACTCTGACAGTCCGCAAACTGTGAACCTCTTGGTGGTGTGTCTGCAGGACACTGAAGATGGTGTTTCCAGCGGAAAGCATGAGCAATTTCCTAGTCGCCTGGAGGCTGCTCCCTTCGCACTCGGACCTTTACATCTTGTCGGAAGCCTGCACTTCCTGCCAGGCAGATGCTGACCCGTTGGTGAGGTGCGGCAAATTCCCGATAAGCCAATACGTTAATAAGCGGGCCGACATGCAAGGGTGGCTGCCTGATACTGCGTGGTAGTACGTGGTAGTACATGGTAGTACGCGGTAGTACGTGGTTTAAATATTATGTGGTAGTACGTCGCAATACGTGGCAGTACGTCGTAGTACGTGGTAATTAGTATGTGGAAGTATGTGGTAGCACGTGGTAGTACATGGTAGTTCGTGCTGGTAGAAAGTAGTAAAATAGTACGTAGAATCGCTACATGTTAGGTCGACACACAGGGGTGGCAGCCCGAGATGCCAAAATTGTTTTTGCATCTCGGGCTGCCAACCCTGCATGTCGGCTCGCCTTTTGGCATGTTGGCCGAACGCATGAAAGCAACAATGCCTTCTGCATCTCGGACAACCTCTTTGCGTCTTTGCATCTCGGGCAGCCAACCCTGCATGACGGCTCACCAGTTCCCTGAAGTGCAGAAGTTGCTGGGCCTACAGACTTGAGCCCATGCAGCTGCCGTACAAAATGCTGGGACTCAGCTCCCATGCACTCGCTGCCTCGGAGACTTGTCTCGGACAGGAGCATCGACAGCATCATCCAGCGGCGCCAGGAGGAGCTTTTCGTTCGTCGAAGCCTCAAGGTCCTGCAAAGAGTTGAAGTTGAGTTGATCTCTATCAGCCGCTGTTTCAAGCTCAGGTCTCTGTGACACGCTTGAGGGACGCGGTGCAAATCGCCACAGCTCCATGCAAGCCCTTTATATGAAGATTACATGCCATCAGCCGAGAGTCAGAGGAGCCATCAGATATCATCCAAGGCATACTTCAACGAGTTCGCTTTGCCCGGAGAGTCGCCACCGTTGCGGCGCATTTCACGGTTTTCCTATGTGACTTTGGCCCATTTTTGCCGGTACTTTTATGGGGGCGAGTGACGGCAAGAGTTCCCAGTCCCAGGCTTCTCCGACTGCATCTGCCAGAACCACTTCGAAAGAATGGGCGCAACTTGACCTCTGCAGGGCATTAAGTGGAAAGATCGACCTGGTGTTGTTGAAGCACGGGTCACAACTTGGCGTAGTTGGCCGTATCTCGATGTGAACGGAGGCATCCTGCCAGCGCCTCCTCACTGCGCAGCGATGAGGGGCCAAGGCGGCTGGACCGGACTGGGACTGCGACGAGGTGCAATCTTTGCCGCTAGGCCAAGCAGACGGGCGAAGGTGGTGAAAAAACGGTGGCAGGCGCAGAAGGGTGCTCCAGTCTGTGCATCTCTGTGCCTCCGCCTCCACACTAGGTGAATGCGATGCCATTGTTGGAAGAGGAGGATTACGAGGCTCGAGATGCTGCGACCTGCGACTCTGCGATGCTGGGTTCATGCTGGTGAAAGGAATTCCGTGAAGAAATGTAGAGCGGACATGTGCAGGGCACACCGCGGGGTTACGCGGAGACAATCATGCTTGTGAGGGCGTGAGGCAGTCTAGAGTCTAGTAGTCCTAGCATAAGTTGCCAGGCCTTAGCTGATGCGCGCTCCAAGCAGCGGGCAATGCGAACTGCAGAGCGCTCCGAGCCTTTGCTGAGACTTCTGTTCACATAGGGCATAATGACTTCAGAGTTGAGCGAGGAGCAGAACGAGGAAGATGCAGCGGTTCATGGCATGGCGCAGAGGCCAGGAAGGGTGAGTGGGCTGGGTTTTTTTTCCGCCCCG